GTGAGCGATTTTAATTTTTCAATACTTTGAAAATTCTTTCTCTCTTAAATGTTTTACTGTAATCAATTTTTTTCCAGTTTGCATGCATTTTCTGTCAACTAAAATATATTGACAGTTTTCAAAGCCATACCAGTTAAACAAATACATATATATTTGAGTGTAGCATAGGCATCGGTAGCCGGGAGGGGGGGGCTATAAAGTTATCAAATTATAATTTTTTATAATGTACAAGAATATAGGCATTTAAAATTGGGGCTAACCTTGAAGGGGTCATTTTCAATTTGCTGCACTTTTGACGGCTATGTACAATGTATAAAAGAGAGATAGAGAGAGTAGTATGAGAGACCTTCTACTCTGTCAGTCGTCTTCTCCTTTTCTTAATGAAGTTAAGTAATTACATGTAAATTAAAAAAGTTTTTCGAAAGCAATAATTATTATTACAAATTGATTCTCTTGAAATTACTAAATTCTATGATTTTTTTATATTTTATATATAATTTTTTCAAAGGTTAAATGTATGCCAAAAAAATTGAAAGTGAAGAGAACGCACTTTGAAAAAAGTTGCAACTCCTCTTATACCACTGAATGATATTCAATGAAACTTTCGCAGAATAACTTATTGCCATTGTGCACCTTCTATTTTACTTTTTGATCCGACAAATATTTTGATGTTTCCCGGCCACAGCAAAACATGACTTTGATATCAGTTATAACCATATTGGAGGCGCGGGGGGGGCTTGTATTTGTGAGCTCAATGCTCACAATACCTCTAGTATTTATTACACTTCAAGTGTTTCAAATTATTAATCATTTTGTTTCACACAAAATTCAATATGTTCATATAGGTGTATTACTTTAACTCTTTGGGTATCCTTTGTTTTTTTTTCAAGATTTACCCTTAACACCTTTTTTAGATCCAGAATTCGTGTGTGAAATTCTGGGAGTGTGTGTGTGTGTGTGTGTTCATTCCCGGCAGAGCCGTCCAGTGTGTAAGACACATTGTAATGGAACAGGACATATTTGGTTAATTTTTTGCTACCAGCATGTGTAACAAAATGTACAGCAAGGTTACTGTGACAGTGTAGTATATTTGGCAAAAAGCAGACCATGGTGATATATTTTGCAGTATTTTTAGTTATGTTTTATGTACTTTTAAAATTTCTAATTCACCTTGGCAAGCATTCATCATTGAAAACCTTTTTTGTTCATGTGTGACATTAGCGAGAGTGTTTGAATAGGCTATCATGCCAGAAGTTTTGTCGCTGTTAGAGAAAAAAACAAAAGTAAAGCCTATTTCTTATTTTATTGTATTTTTGAATGCTGTATTACTTTTTCATTTAAATGTCTTAAAACATTGGAATTAAGTGAGACATATTGGCAGCCATTTTTTATCTATGTCAACTGTAAACAAACTGTTGACAATTGAAAGTATCCTAGTGTTTATATTATATTGTTCATCAAACCTGTAACGGTTGGTTAAGAATTTAAGAGGACAGGAGGGTAAGTTATTTTTAGTGCACGTATAAATGACCATTTTACTGTAAATATTTTAAGTTTATCGAACAGCAAGCAAAATATTCTCCATAAATTTCATTTATGTTCTCGGAGAGTGAGAGGCGATGATGCGTGCAATGACTTTCTTGGGTAGTCATGAAAAAAAAATGAAGACTAATCAAGCACTGTTCATGGCGGTAGTTATAAATCCTAGCAGTTTTTAAAGTTTACGACACATATGTATGTTATATGATTATATCGTTTTTGAAACGGGGCACAGAAAAAAAAAATAAAACCTCACCTGGACAATCCTGGCCCGGGGGTGAGGGTGTGTGGGGGAAGGGTTGTTGCACTCTGCTTAAATTAAAAATCTTTACAATAATGATAAGTGTGCTTTATGCTATGTACAGTTGTAAAGATTTTGTATTTGAATCGGATTGGTGTAGGTGCAGGTTTAGGCCAGTAGAACCAGGTCCAACACAATCTCTTGATTAAGCTATATATGCTTTTAAAAAGCCATATATAGCTTTATTAAGCTATTCAAAATAGTTTGATAAAGCTATCAACACAGGGTGTGTGTGTTAGGTTCAGACTTCTTTCAGCCAGCACCAAATTTTATTAAGACAATAATACTATTATCCTTATTTCACCTAACTATAACAAAAAGTGGGGAGGGTGGAGGGGGCCAACCGGTCTTTCAATGAACAATTTCTTTGGTAAAAAGTTATGTTTGAAAAAAAGGGGGAGCCCCCCCTCTCCTGCCCCCCCCCCTTGTTATGAACTGCAATTTCATCTATAGAATGGCCCCTTTATTGTTTTCGGAGGAGGTTATTTTTTTATGTGCACGAATTGATTGATTCAGGTGTATATTGTGTTTGTCTTGTCTGTCTGTTTATCTGTTTGTCAACTTTAACCTTCACCATAACTTTTTAACCCTGAAAGATAGAGACTTCATATTTGGTATGCATACTCCACTAATTAAGCACGGTCTCTCTCTCTCTCTCTCTCTCTCTCTCTCTCTTAATTTCAACTGACACCAAGGTCAATGACCTTGTGATCTTGACTGTGTGACCTATATGCTAAAAATAGCTTTTTTGAACTTTTGCCATTACTTTTTAACTATAGGAGATAGAGACTACTTATTTGGTATGCATACTCCGATAATTAAGCTCTTTCAAATAACGCCAAGGTCAATGACCTTGTGACCTTGACTGTGAACTATATGCTTAAATAGCTCTTTCGAACTTTCGCCATTATTTTTTAACCACAGGATATGGAGACTCCATATTTGGTATGCATACTCCACTAAATTAAGTTCTTTCAAATGCCAAGAAGATCAATGACCTTCTGACCTTGACTGTGGCCTATATGCTAAAAATAACTTTTTTGAACTTTCGCCATTATATTTGAACCAGAGAAGATAGAGACTATATTTGGTATGCATACTCCACTAATTAAGTGCTTTCAAATGACACCAAGGTCAATGATTTGTGTGACCTTGACTGTGACATATATGCTAAAAACTGCTTTTTCGAACTTTGTTGCTGGCGGGCGCATAGTGTTTCACAAACACATCTTGTTTTAAGCAAGTTTCCTTTCCAAGTAACTACTGGTATGAGCCCTACATTGACTAGACTAAAGACTTGTATGAAGGATACATGCATGCACAGTTGCACATTGCCAGGCTTGCTATGTATACTGGATTTGATATACTTAATAAGTGACCTGGTAGAAGTTTTTGGAGGATGTCCTTTAAGCATTATGATGACCAAACTTGCATGAACTAAACATCTAAGGATGTACATTACTGTACTTGCTTAATTCAGATGCTGGATCTGACCTACATATACTTCAAATGAATGACCACTCACCAAGTTAAGTTTTTGTATCAGATTCATTCTAAAATGTTATTTATACTATTTGCCCTACATGAAAATAACTTACATGGGTGATACATCTAAGGATGCTCACAACTTGACTTGCTTTAGATGCTGAATTTGACCTTCAATTTCCAGATGCGCAACCAGTTTAAATTTTCAAAACATTTGTTTTAATTAAGTGACTTTAAGGCATATGCTAACCAACTTGGCACTTAAGATACATTTATTTTGCACATGATACATTTATTGATGTACACTAGCAGAGATGCAAATGCTTTGGATGTGGGATTTCTCCTAGATTTTCCTGATGAGTGATCACTAGGTTAAATTGTTTTGACAGTCCATTGCCAAGAAACTGTAGTGCCTGTGTTACATCAACGCACTTTGAAAAATTACTTGATTTCACTTTGATATAAAATTGACTAGTTTTTCAAAGTGCGTTAAATTTGCATTAATGGAGTTGCAAAGCTAACACACTTTGAATTAGTTAAGTTTTTTTTTACTTAAAGTGCGTTAATATGACGACCATATTAACGCACTTTGAAAAAAATATAAAGATTGATCAATATTCCTACAAATAATTGGTATGATAAATACCAGATCCTGGTTGGATAACTTTTTTATGATAAAGTCACTTCAAGACCTGAGATATTGAGGTTTTAAATATTTGAGGTTTTGATAAAATAAAAGGGAAAATTAAAGGGTCTTGAAAAAAAGGTGACGATTGTTTAAGATCATTAATTTGTTTCTTCTTTTTTTTTAAATTCTAGTCTATATAAATTATATAGTAGATGCATGTAAAGGTGTAAAGGGGTATTACTAACAGTGGACAGCTTTAAGCAACTTAGCATTCATAATAAAAAGGGGGCAATTTGTATTGTTCAAAACTATATCTTTGAAAATTCTCTTCTCTCTCATACATTTTACTGTACTTAAAAATTTCTAGTTTTCATCTGTTTTAATTAATTCATTTATATATAAAGTTTTGAAAATGTCCTACCAGTTAGGAATAAATACATAATTATATGAATGTTTTGAGTATAGCATAGACATTGAGACTGGGGAAGGGCCAGGGGGGGGGGGGGGCTAAGCCCCCCACTTATTATACTGAAAATGAATTAAGTAATTGAAAATGCAGCTTCCTTGGTATTAATCAAACATTTTTGATAAGTTACTGACACCTATGCATTTTCCAAAATTGTGAAATGCGTGGACCAAGGGTCAGGGGTTTTTGTGTGGTAGGAGCAAACTGATTAGTAGAAATGCATTTTGTTGTTGTTCTCCTTTTTTGAAAGATAAATAATAAATAAAATCTTTCCATGCTAAATATATAGTTATTAAGCAAAGTGCATTGTGTAAAATATAATGCCATGACAGTTTTTCAAAGTTTAAAACATTAAACCAAATTCAATCGCACTGGAAAGTTTTGCAGTGTGTTGCACATGGTGACCAAAGGCCCATGGGCCTCTTGTATTTTTTCCTGAATTGATATTAGCATTACATTTATGTTGTCTTCAAAATCACACTCTTCGAGGGTAAATTTGAGCGTACAAAGTAAGGTTTTGACATTTTCATTTCTTCCTGGTACTTAAAGACTCGCAGAAACTCATCACATTGTCCGGAGGAGGTGTAGAGGTTCAAGAGCACCACTGACATGAGACCAATCACTGCAAATGTCAGGTATCTGAAGCCCACATAAGGTGATTTACAGCAACAGAAAACTAAGGATAGGTACTTTATTTTGCTGAAATAGAATAAAACCCTCAAGCTAGGTGAGTACTTTTGTTTCATTTCTCAGTAGTTATTAAACCATCACTAACATAGACTAACTTCCTCTTGCACACACCTTCCCTTCCCTCAAAACCTTGTGATATTTCTTGTTTTAATTGTTTGGTCTGTTCATTAAGCATAAGTAATTTTTCTACTGGACAGCATGCGATTTTTGTACAGCTGGAGGAGAGACGAGATGATGTAGATGAATAATGAAGACAAGCCATCAACAGGAAGATAATCCATACATCAAGAGCCTTAGACCTGAGTTACAACTTGTGTATATTTTGAGGTAACAATGTTAAAAGATGGCCACAAGTCAGGTGAGAACTTTACTGTATTTCTTAATGAATTCAAAAGCATTTCCTTCAGGAATTCCTCCCAATCATATGGATAAAGCTAACATATTGTACTAACCCCCTCTTGCACACCTCCTCTCCCTTCATGCTTGTATGTTTTGTTGAATATTTATGACTGTTTACTAATCATATGTTGATTTTTGTCGGGCAGAAGGCAGTTGATGCCTAACAAGTTTGGAAGTTGGACATGACTGATAGAAAGAAGACAAACCATCAACAACAAAATGAACTGTGCATCTAGAGCCTTGTTGTAATGAGACAACTAACCAGGTAAGATTTTACAAATATTTTATGAAAGCAATGTAAGAGGTGGCTTCAAATCACTTCCATAGCATTGCTTCATGTTTTATCATTATATTAGGAGTTCATGTTATTATTCATTAGGCAACATATAGTTATAAACTCCCTCAAAATTATGAGATTTCTCTTTTTTTCTTGGTCTGTTTTTAACATAATCATATGTACATTTCTACTCGACAGCATGCAGTTGCTACCCAACAGGAAGAGAGAAGATGACTGGAAGAGAAGAGACAAGCCATCACCAGGAAGGTTAATCCCAGACATCAAGAATCTCAGATGAAGGATGGGTACCTGTATTTATTTTGAGGTAACACAGTAAAAAAAAAAGTGGCCCTAATTCAGGTGAGGACTTGACAGTTTTTTATTGAATCAACATTATTTCAATCAGGAATTCCTCCCAATCATATGGATAAAGCTAACTTGATACTAACCCCCTCTTGCACACCCTCCCCTCCCTTCATGCCTGTTCTGTTTTGTTGAATATTTATGACTGTTTACTAATCATATGTTGATTTTTGTTGGGCAGCAAGCAGTTGATGTCTAACAAGAAAGAAGAAGAGGGACATGATTGATAGAAAAAAGACAAACCATCAACAACAAAATGAACTGTGCATCTAGAGCCTTGTTGTAATGAGACAACTAACCAGGTAAGGTTTTACAAATTTTTTATGAAAGCAATCTCAGAGGTGGCTTCAAATCACTTCCATAGCATTGCTTCATGTTTTATCTTTTTAAATTATATATTAGGAGTTCATGTTATTATTCATTAGGCAACATATAGTTATAAACTCCCTCAAAATCATGAGATTTCTCTTTTTTTTCTTGGTCTGTTTTTAACATAACAATATGTACATTTCCACAGGACAGCATGCAGTTGCTACCCAACAGGAAGAGAGAAGATGACTGGAAGAGAAGAGACAAGCCATCACCAGGAAGGTTTATCCCAGACATCAAGAATCTCAGACACAGGACGGGTACCTGTATTTATTCTGAGGTAACACTGTAAAAAGAATGTGGCCCTAATTCAGGTGAGGACTTGACATTTTTTTATTGAATGAACATTATTGCTATCAGGAATTCCTCCCAATCATATGGATAAAGCTAACTTGATACTAACCCCCTCTTGCACACCCTCCCCTCCCCTCATGCCTGTTATGTTTTGTGTTTTTAATTTTTATGAATGTTTACTAATCATATGTTAATTTTTGTCGAGATGCCTTACAAGAAGAAAGAGGAACATGATTGGTAGAAAGAAGACAAACAATCCACAGGAAATGAACTTCCCATTGAGAGCCTTGGTTATAGTATTTATCCGGAGGCAAAGTTGTAACAAGACAACTAATTAGGTAAGGATTAACAATTTCTTTATAAAAGCAATATCAGACTTATACCAGGCTTCAATTGACTCCCATAGTATTGTTTTATGTTTTGATATGAGAACTCAAAAATGTCATTTGTGTTGCCATGGTTGCTAAAATAGAAATTTCTGTGAAATACTCTCAAAATGCTACCCCAAATACAGTTTCAGTCTCATTGTAATATAATGTGGCATGCAAGTAGACTACACTATGATACATAATTGTCTTTATTGTTGTTTTTTTATAATGATGAATAATGTTGCCATGGTTACTAAAATTTAAAAAACTGTAAAATTATATTAAAAACTACTCCCATAGTTGTAGTCTTATTGCATTTTATTGCCTCCAAAAGAGACTTAATCAAGGATCATTATACTATTTATTGCTGTTGTAAAGTTTCAAGTCCCAACTGCTACTTTTCTCTTCCTTTGTTATAAGTACAAACCAGTGGAGCTTCAGTCTTGACAGAGACTTCTGGTTGTTTGAATTTTAAGAACTCTGACAACACGTCATTTTTTCCTGTGGGCAGCAGCTGCACATGTCTGGGCCACAATCACCGTGGAGTTCGTCTGCATGAAATTTGATGGAAAAAAGAGAAGAGGATGACTGCCATAGACAAGGAACAGCAACCAAGTGGCTCTTACCAAGGATTGGTACTATTGGTAGTATTCATCCTAAGTGAAGGGTTAAATAAAACATGAATTAGGCAGGTATTTCAATTTCCTTCCATTGTTCTTCCCTGTTTATATTTACAAAAGTAATCTATTGACAAAACTAATATACTAATCCTCTCTTCCTTTTGTTTTACTTCTATGCATGATTATTTTTACTAATTGGGGACGTCCCCAGATATCGTGAAGCGCTTCAAATTAAAACGTTTTCTCAGTACTCAGTCTGCAACCATTTCGTGTTTTTTGGTGTGCCAAGACTGCCCTGTATGGTTGATGTACCTCAGTTATTAAGGTCTTTTGGAAAGACACGCAACATTGACTTTCGTAATGCTGAGGATGGGGCAGAGAAACGGTGGGTTGCTACATGTATTGATGTGCATTTGCCATGGCCAACCACAGCTTTCCGCCTACGGGGCAAGTTTTCTACCCAATTACCCCCTCTGCTCTCATGCAAACCAAGTCCTGTCTCTCAGATTCTTTTGTTTTTCTGACTGCTTACTAATCATATGTTAGTTTCTTTGGCACAGCAAGAAAACAATTGGATTGAAGAAGAGAAGACAACTGTTATGAAGAAAGAAGACAACTGATATGAAGAAAGAAGATAGTTGTAAGGAAAAAGAAGACAGAAGGAAACTGGATTGAAGAAAGAAGACAAATGGAAGAAAAAAGACAAATGGAAGAAAAAAGGAAATGGTTAGAAGGAAAAAGAAGATAACTGGAAGAAAGAAAAACAACAGAGAGAAAGAAGAAGACAACAGAAAGAAAGAAGACATCTTGAAGATAGAAGGAAATGGTTGGAAAAAAGAAGCAAGGTGCAGGCAATGGAAGTCTTATAGTCTTACCAAATGTTGTAAAACGGATTAAAAATTCAGGTATGGATAACATGCTGTAGTGACAATTTTTTTTTCCAAGTAGAGGAGGGGGGGTTAAATGCTGAAATTTATTTATTTGTTTTTGAATTATAGATAGAGGATTTAAAAATGGAACTTTGGTGACCAAACATCAAGAACAAAGGGGTCCATTAGGTTACAGAGCCTACAGAAGTTGGGATTGGGATTTAAAAAAAATGTTTGAGCCAGGTTTTAAATTTCCATTTCTAAGACTAGCTAACATGATTGCAAAACAGTAAGGTCTTGTGTTTCATTTCTTTTCATTACAAATTTGAATTTTCTGCATTTGATGTATAGTAGATAACATTATTTTTCTCCTGCTCACCAGCTTTATTAGTTTCTATTTGATAGCAAAAGCATACTGAGCTGATTTTGTGGACAACCCTCTCCAGGGAAGACAACAGAGTGTATGAGAAGATGACAGTCAGGCAATGAATAGATCCACAGGTATGTTTGTCTTGATATGTATGTAAAATACTAGTAAGAAATGGGAATTTCCTAGTTACTGACTTCTTGAATTTCTTTGATTTTTCACATGAGCCAGAGACAGCACTATTAACTTGTGTTTTAAAATGATAGGAAGAAGATGATTGAAGCCTGATGACTATTCAATTACTAAATCTGAAGAGGGTTTACTCAGTCTGAAGAGGAAGACAAGTTTGCTGCACCCAGAAGGAACCTTGATGGACCAAGACGGAGCCTTGATGGACCCAGATGGATCCTTGATGGACCCTAGAAGTTGGGATTTTAAAAAAAATGTTTGGAGCCAGGTTTTTAATTTCCATTTCTAAGACTAGCTAACATGATTGCAAAACAGTAAGGTCTTGTGTTTCATTTCTTTTCATTACAAATTTGAATTTTCTGCATTTGATGTATAGTAGATAACATAATTTTTCTCCTGCTCACCAGCTTTATTAGTTTCTATTTGATAGCAAAAGCATACTGAGCTGATTTTGTGGACAACCCTCTCCAGGGAAGACAACAGAGTGTATGAGAAGATGACAGTCAGGCAATGAATAGATCCACAGGTATGTTTGTCTTGATGTGTATGTAAAATACTAGTAAAAATGGGAATTTCTAGTTACTGACTTCTTGCATTTCTTTGATTTTTCACACGAGCCAGAGACAGCACTATTGTGTTTTAAAATGAAAGGAAGAAGATGATTGAAGCCTGATGACTATTCAATTACTAAATGAAGAGGGTTGTATTCAAAAGACTTTTTGCTCTGACCAGGTACATATTTAGGTCTTCATGGATTTAGTAAGGAGATTGTTCAAGTCCTGTCTCAGATTCTTTTTTTCTGACTGCTTACTAATCATATGTTAGTTTCTTTGGCACAGCAAGAAAACAATTGGATTGAAGAAGAGAAGACAACTGTTAGGAAGAAACAAGACAACTGTTAGGAAGAAAGAACACTACTGGAATGAAGAAAGAACACAACTGGAATGAAGAAAGATAATAGCTGGAAGGAAAAAGAAGACAGAAGAAAACTGGATTGAAGAAAGAAGACAAATGGAAGAAAGAAGGCAAATGGAAGAAAGAAGAAAATGGTTAGAAGGAAAAAGAAGTAAGAAGCAACTTGCAGGCAATGGAAGCCTTATAGTCTTACCAAATGTTGTAAAGGGGATTAAAAATTCAGGTATGGATAACATGCTGTAGTGACAATTTTTTTTCCAAGTAGAGGAGGGGGGTTAAATACTGAAATTTATTTATTTGTTTTTGAATTATAGATAGAGGATTCAAAAATGGAACTTTGGTGGCCAAACATCAAGAACAAAGGGGTCCATTAGCTTACAGAGCCTACAGAAGTTGGGATTTAAAAAAAAAAATGTTTGGAGCCAGGTTTTTAATTTCCATTTCTAAGACTAGCTAACATGATTGCAAAACAGTAAGGTCTTGTGTTTCATTTCTTTTCATTACAAATTTGAATTTTCTGCATTTGATGTATAGTAAATAACATTAATTTTCTCCTGCTCACAAGCTTTATTAGTTTCTATTTGATAGCAAAAGCATACTGAGCTGATTTTGTGGACAACCCTCTTCAGGGAAGACAACAGAATGTATAAGAAGAAGACAGTCAGCTAATGAATAGAACCACAAGTATGTTTATCTTAATATGTATGTAAAATACTAGTAAGAAATTGGAATTTTCTAGTTACTTACTTCTTGAATTTCTTTGATTTTTCACATGAGCCAGAGACAGTACTGTTAACTTGTGTCTTAAAATGATAGGAAGAAGATGCTTGAAACCTGCAGACTATCCAGTTACTTCATCCGAAGAGGGTTTACTCAGTCTGAAGAGGAAGACAAGTTTGCTGCACCCAGATTGAACCTTGATGGACCCAGAAAGAACCTTGATGGACCCAGATGGAACTTTGATGGACCCGGAAGGAGCCTTGAATGAACCTGGAGAGAGCTTTGATGGACCTGGACGGAGCCTTGATGGACCCAGATGGAACCCTGATGGACCTGGACGGAGCCTTGATGGACCCAGACGGAGCCTTGATGGACCCAGATGGAACCCTTGATGGACCCAGATGGAACCCTGATGGACCCGGACGGAGCCTTGATGGACCCAGATGGAACCCTGATGGACCTGGACGGAGCCTTGATGGACCCAGATGGAACCTTGATGGACCAACCAACAAATATTCAAAAGACTTTTTGCTCTGACCAGGTACATATTTAGGTCTTCATGGATTTAGTAAGGAGATTGTTCTAGTAAGCAAAGTCTCTCCTTTAGCCCTTTAATTTCTTTAAAAGTGGGAGGTATATAAAGTGTTCGGATTGTCTGTTCTTTCATAGGTCTTTCTGTATATAAACATCAACCTAGGGGATACTTATTGTGCTATTTTATTTTTTGAATGGGTATATAAATAGTGTTTCCTATAGCAAAACATATTTACTGCTACATGTACTCTTTCTATAAGGAAGGAGGATTACGCATTGCTCTGACATCTTACTTTCTATATTAAAGGTTGAAAGAAATTTTTATTAATGAAATCAGACAGTAATAACCTCATATCCTAGTGGGAAACTATTCTTAATTTTGCATATGATGTGTATGGGGAATGGGAGGGTTAAGATCTGGATAACTTACCTTTCTGAACTAATTTTTTTTTTTAATTTTTCTTTGTTTGGTTTAGGGTAAGGGGTTCGTTGGGTCATCTTGAAACTGTCCTCAATTCTATTTATACATTTATTGAACATTGAGAGCAAGGAACTTGGAAGGCCATCCACCTACAGTAGAAGAAGATGCATTTTCTGTATTTTGTCTTACAGACCCTACAGATGTCAGATGCAGTCATGGAATATTTAATTGATTTGGTGGACAGTCAATGAGAGAGGATGAATAAGTTGATATTAGAAAGTAGAGGATGACAGTCAGCAATAAGCCTAACCAGGAACAGTGAACCCCCCTTTTCCTCTCCCATTCATTGCACTAGGATGACAATCTATGCAAAGGACCAAGATAATACCAATCTTAATGTGCATGCAAAACATGGAGGTGAGAAAATGTTTAATTGTTGCCATTTTGAACTATCATTTTTCATATGAGCTAGAGGCAGTTAATTGACCTTGTATTTTAAAATGATAGGAATAGGAAGAAGATGCTTGATGCCTGTTGACCATCAATGTACTTTGAAGAGGAGGACAAGTTTGCTGCATCTAGATAGACGCTTGATGAATTTAGCAACATATTCTTATAACAAGCAACAAACCAGGATGTTTCACTTCTGAGAGATTGATTGCTTTGACTAGGTAAATGCATGTTTGGGGTGGTATGTGTTCTTGTTGGGGAGGGGGAGGGGGCTGTTAGTCTGTGCTTTAACCCACAGCATGTTTCTTGGGGGGTGTAGTTATTCTGACATCTAAATTTTATTTTGTAGACATATAGGTACTACCAAATGAAAACAGCCAATATTAACCTTAACAGCAGAATGGATAAACCATTCCCACTGAATAGGACCAATTAGGTATCGACTACCTCCTATAGTTAACATTCTTTTGACTTATTTTTTGTGCTCTTTGTTAACCCAAATTCTTACTGTATTTTTTATTCAAAAACAGATCATTAATGGAAAAGAACTTAGTTAAACACCTTTCAAAAGAAGAGGATACTGAACATCTGAACATCTTTCAATAGAAGGGGATACTGGACACCTACCAAGAGAAGGGGATACTGGACACCTATCAAGAAAAGCGGATACATCATCTTGGGAGCCAACAGAAGTCAGAGAACCAGGGACGTGTACAGCTTTTCTTCTAACTGGAAACACTAAAATCATGGAATTCTGTGAGAGCATCCATAACAATTATGTTAAGAAGAATCACCAATCTGTTCTTTATGCCGATATGTGACATACCTCGCTGAGATATAAGAATTAATCCCCTGACAGCGCACCACAGGATGAATGACTGAGGTACAAAGATCATGCATGCACTAACTTTTGAGATAAGAGAGGCCTGGCTTCACTTTTTAAGATTCTTGCCATAGCTGTTTTAGCTGACACATTTTATACTGTTAATGGGAAAGTGTTGTGAACAAATTAAGACAGTTTAATTTATTTTTACAAATTTTATTGGCACCGTTCATTAAAAAACAGACTAAAACAAGACATGGTCAACTATTAACCTGTGATGCCCAGATTTGCTGTTTAGAAAACTTGTATTATAAGAATCGTAGCAGAGTAGAATCATTTTTTTATAAGACAAATTACAATATCAGAAAAATGAACTCGCTTTAGAATATATTTTTTCTTATTTATTTTTTAAAATCTTTTTTAAAATAATTTTTTCTACTTTTTTGAATTTGTCATATTATTTTTTCATTTTAATGTTTGAAGCAGGTGTCATATGAAGACATTAAATCACTTGATTTAGAACTAAAGGAAGATTATTTTTACAATTAAGTTTCATTGCATTGTTGTGTCTTTCTTCATCTTTCTTTGAACATTTTATTTATACATTAATTAAAGCTAAAGAGGGAGGTATTTCAGTCAGTGTTTATCTAAATATTATACAGAAAATGTCCTTTCCAAATAAGAGTAAAACATTTTTTTTCTTATTTCTTCAAACAATAGAACTTTCTAAAAACTTCAATAAGCACATACATTACCAAGATTTTTTTCTGTATTTTTATTTCTATTTTAAAAGTTATGCTATTTTGATATATTTAAAAGAAATAACCAAACATGCCAGATTCTCCAGCACACAATAAGCAGAGAATGTGTCATCAAACATTACTTTTTCAATTTGATACCTTTTTCTTTCTTTTTTTCAATGTAATTATTGATTAAATTTACTTCTTGATTTATTTTTTTTCAATAATAGTCTGTCTTCTCCCCCTTCCTTAAAAAAATTATTAGAAGTATTTTTTATGTGATTTTTGTAAAATCTAAATTTATTTTTTTTTTCTCTTTATTACCCAGTAATTGTTTTATTCCCCCATTCAAATTCACTGATCAGTTCTTCTTCTTGTAACACAGAGAAATAAGAGAGCAGGAGATATCTCCAAGTCTATAGCCCCCTTCTATGCCATATTTTACTTTAATATTGATTTAAATTTAGAATTGTGTGACTTCCCCACAAATAGAATAGATCATCCTGATATTTAGATTCTTTTTACTTTGAATTACATTTTTTAAAATGCATTATCACAAAATGGACTATCTATGAGATTTAAAATGACTGCATTTTGATCTTTTCTACTTTAACAATTCTATTCCCACAGCAAAACTTCTTTAACAGTCCTTTTTTTTAAACTTAGAAAATTTTTTGCATGAGTGAACAAAGTAGTCTCTTTGTATGATAATTGTTTTTAATTGTTATTGACATTCTAACCTCTGTATCTTTCTCGTATTGTCAAAAATTTTGGTATAGTCAATCTAAATATCAACTTTTTTCTTACTTTTAAAAAAATCTAATTGAATGTGAACTTTCTTTTATAAAATGAGTTGCTGTTTTCTCTTTATGGATGTGTAGGACAAAGGACTGATCAGCCCCATTCCTCTCTGTTATAAGTTTGTAGGGGATATCTGCCAGGTTATAGCCTCTCTTTATAGGACATTTATATTTTTATGTTGATTTATAGCTATGAAACATTGAAAAGTCTGAATACTTTTGGATAAAAAGAGAGTTGCCCTTCCTCATAAAATCCTTTTTTCGGTAATATAAAGAAGAAAATATTTCTTTATCCTTTTTTTTTTTTTTTTTCTCGTAAGATTTACTGAAGTGTTTCCTAGTAAATTAGATTTTTCTATTATTATACATTTCCATTCAATGAAGTTTTTTGATCAGTTTCTTCCTCTTCTTTTTCAACATTCAGAGGAAACAATGACATCTGATATCTCCAAGTCAGTAACATCCATGTATTTCACCCTTTCAAATTGATTTATTTTTTTTTCTCTGCTTATCACATTGTTGAGAGTTAATTGTAAATGTACCTTCTTTTAAAACGTGAGTTGCTGTTTTCCCTTTAGAGATGTTTAGCAAATAGTGTGACTTCCCAACAAATAGAATAGATCATACTGATATTTAGATTCTTTTTTTTTTTTTACTTTGAATTACATTTTTTAAAATGCATTATCACAAAATGGACTATCTATGAGATTTAAAATGACTGCATTTTTATCTTTTCTACTTTAACAATTTCATTTCTTTACTAGTCCTTTTTTTTTAAACTTAGAAAAAATTTTGCATGAGTGAACAAAGTAGTCTCTTTGTATGATAATTTTTTTTAATTGTTATTGACATTCTAACCTCTGTATCTTTCTCGTATTGTCAAAAATTTTGGTATAGTCAATCTAAATATCAACTTTTTTCTTACTTTTAAAAAAATCTAATTGAATGTGAACTTTCTTTTATAAAATGAGTTGCTGTTTTCTCTTTATGGATGTGTAGGACAAAGGACTGATCAGCCCCATTCCTCTCTGTTATAAGTTTGTAGTGGATATCTGCCAGGTTATAGCCTCTCTTTATAGGACATTTATATTTTTACGTTGATTTATAGCTATGAAACATTGAAAAGTCTGAATACTTTTGGATAAAAAGAGAGTTGCCCTTCCTCATAAAATCCTTTTTTCGGTAATATAAAGAAGAAAATAATTCTTTATCCTTTTTTTTGTTTTTCTCGTAAGATTCACTGAAGTGTTTCCTAGTAAATTAGATTTTTTCTATTATTATACATTTCCATTCAATGAAGTTTTTTGATCAGTTTCTTCCTTTTCTTTTTCAACATTAAGAGGAAACAATGACATCTGATATCTCCAAGTCAGTAACATCCATGTTTTTCATGCTTTCAAACTGATTTTTTTTTCTCTGCTTATCACATTGTTGAAAGTTAATTGTAAATGTACCTTCTTTTAAAACGTGAGTTGCTGTTATCCCTTTAGAGATGTTTAGCAAATAGTGTGACTTCCCAACAAATAGAATAGATCATACTGATATTTAGATTCTTTTTTTTTTTTTTTTTTTTTTTTACTTTGAATTACATTTTTTAAAATGCATTATCACAAAATGGACTATCTATGAGATTTAAAATGACTGCATTTTTATCTTTTCTACTTTAACAATTTTATTCCCACAGCTAAACTTCTTTAATAGTCCTTTTTTTTAAACTTAGAAAAATTTTTGCATGAGTGAACAAAGTAATCTCTTTGTATGATAATTGTTTTTAATTGT